TCAACTAGAATAAGACAATAGAGTCAAATCTCCTACATTCAAAGCCTCCAAGAAAAATATGAATCAGTCGCAGGCCACGGAAGAGCTCAAAAAGGATTTTGAAAAGCAAGTAAGAGAAGCAGAGGAAAAATCAGGAAGAGAAATGAGACTGATGTAAGAAAATCATGAAAAATGAGTCAATAGCTTGCTAAAAAATACTGAAGAAAATAATACCTAAAAAATAGATCAACCCAAATGGCAAAAGAGGTCCAAAAAGCCAATGAGGAGAAGAATGCCTTAAAAGCAGAATTGGCCAAATGGAAAAGGAAGTCTAAAAGCTCACTGGAGAAAATAATTCCTTAAAAATTAGAATGGAGCAAATGGAAGAGGAAGGGGATAAGAGAACGGGGAAGTGTGATAGAAGGGAGGGCAAATTGGAGGAAGGAATATTCAGAATGCACACCATCTTGGGGTGGTGGGAGAGGAGAGGTGAGGAGATGGGAAGAAAATTTGGAACTCAAAATCTTGTGGAAGTGAACGTTGAAAACTAAAAATAAATTAATTAATTTTAAAAAAAGAAATAAAGAATAACTTACATACTTGGAAGAATATTCAGTGCTTATAGCTGGATGTGCCAATAAAATAAAAATACCACCAAAAGTAACTTACACTTTTAAAGCTAAATCAGTAAAATTGTCAGAGGAATATTTTATAACATTTGATTAAATAATAAAATTCATTTGGAAAAATAAGAGATCTAGGATATCCATGAACAGAAGTAAAGACAAAGGGGGAATGAGCTTCCAGACCTCAAAATATACTATAAAGCAAAGTTATCTGAACCATCTGATTTTTTTTAAAGAGAGAGGTAGATCAATGGAATAAACTAGAGAAGAATTAAAAACAAAGGAAGTCAAAAACCCAGTGTTTGATGAAGTGGATAAAAAATTGATGGGAAAACTGGAAAGTACTCTGACAGAAATTTGGCATAGATCAACAACTTATGCTACATTCCATAATATATTCTAAATGGATATTAAAGATCATACCATAAAAAATTAGAAGAGAAGAAGATTATATACTTCTAGGAACTATTCTCAACTAAACAAGGGATAAAGACAATTATGAAAGATAATCTCAGTAACTTTGATTACATATAACTGAAATGCTTCTTCATAGATAAAATTAATGCACCTATAAGAAGGAAAATGATTGAATACAAAAAAAATCTTTTTATCAAATTTCTCTGATAAAGGTTTGTATCCAAGATACACACAAATATGTGTGTATAATATATTTTTATATGCAACATATATGACAAATAGCCAATCTTAATAGATAATTAGTCAAAGGATATGAACAGTTCTCAGAAGAATTGCAGAGTATTACCCACATAAAAGAATGGTCCAAATCACTAATAATAAGAGAAATTCAAATTAAAACAACCTCAAAGTTTTATATCACACCCTACAATCTGGCAAACACGACAAAAGATGTCAATAGTCAATTTTGAAGAGATTATGGGAAGATAAACATAATGATGAATTGTTGGTGGAGCTCTGAATTGGCACAAAGATTTTGGAAAGCAATTTTAAATTATATAAATAAAGTGATTAAAATATACATATGCTTTGAACCAGAGATTCCATTATTGGGCTTACTCCCCAAGGAAGATATTGATAAGAAGGAAGTCCCTGTATTCATCGAAATGTTTATAGCAGCACTTTTTGTGATAGCAAAAAATTGGAAACAAAGTACATGTCCATCAATTGAAGAATGGCTAAACAAATTGTACTACATGAATATGATGGAATATTACCATACAGTACAAATTGATTAATTTTATGAATAAAGAGAATCAGGGAAAGTTCTACATGAATTGATGCAAAGTGAAATAAACAGGTCCAAAAAATAATATGACTACAACTATTTAAATTGAAAGAACAACCACACACACTAATCAAAAGTGAATCTGCAAAATTATAAAGAAAAAGTATGACTCAAAGGAAAAGATATAAAAAAGAATGTTCCCAATCCACCCCTCTGGGAAGGTGTAAGGTGAACATTGATCTTGTTTTTGAACTTTTTAAATGATCTATGTGCTAATTTTTCTTCTTCTTTTACTTTTTTTTTTGCCTTTAAAAATAATTATTTGTCATATGGGATAGCACTCTGGGACAAGGAGAGAAAGGGATACTCAGGAAAACTAGGAAGATTTAAAAAGCAAAAGACTACAATAAAAATTTACTTTAAAAAGAATAAACTAACAGCTATCACAATGAATTCCAAATGTATATATGAACATTGGATATTATATGATATATGTATATATATATACATATATATATGTATATATATATATCTCATGATATAAAAGGTCATATCATAAACAAATTAGAGAAATAGTAAAATACCTTTCCCAATTACGGGTAAGAGAAGTATTATTTATGAAATGATGGATAGAGAAGATCATACTTGGTAAAACTAGACAATGTTGATTATATAAAATTGAAAGCCTTTTGCACAAACAAAATCAAGGACAAGGAAAAGAGAACTGGGAAAAATCTTTGCAGCAAATTTCTCTAATAAAGGTCTGACATCAAAGATACATAGTGAACTGATTCAAATATGTAAGAATGAAAACCTTTCCCAAACAGATAAAGTGCCAAAGAAACATGTATATTAATGGACAGTTCTTAAAAGAAGAAAGGCAAGCTATCAATATCCAAATGAAATATGCTCCAAATCACTAATTAGTGAAATGCACATTAAAATAACCCTGAGGTTTTGCTTCACTCATCAGACTGGCAAAAATGACCTCCCCTCAAAAAAGGAAAATGGTCATTGCTGGAGAGGTTACTAATGTACAGTAATATTTTTGGTAAAGTTGGAAAGTGGTCTATCCATTCTGGGAAACAATTAGGAACCATACACCCAAAATTACTACACTGTGCACATCCTTTAACCCAGCAATACCATTTCTGGGCATTTACTCCAAGGAAGTCAAAGGAAAGGACCTTTACATACAAAAATATTTCTGGTTATTAGTGTTACTGTCATTAGTGTTGCAAAAAACTTAAAATGGGTACCTATCTGTTGAGAATGCTTAAACAAATTAAGGTATAAAAAGGTAATGTAGTAGTATTACTCCATAAGAAATAATAAAAGAGGCAGATTCAGAAATACCTGGGAGGATTTGTATGAACAGATCCAGGAGAACAATTTATAAAATAATTATAATATTACAAATTATATGATACTTTTAAAAGGAAGCAAAGAAAGTGTCAAGAATTCATTTAAAAATATGCAGAAGTCATCAAAAGAAATTTCAGGAGAAATAGACAAGTCACACTAAATTCAAAATATTCTTTTTTTTATAAAGCAAACTATATATACTGGAGAGTAATGACTTTATGTACAATTCTCTTTTTCGATTCTTATTTATATGGAGAAATGCTTATTTGTTTAATTTGTTAGGTTTATATGTACATATGATAAGCTAAATATAGGAAGTGAAGAATACGTGGGTAGCAGACCCCACCCGCAAGCTGCTGATTTGGACCACCAAATTAGATACTTCATTTCTCTTTGTTACTTGTACACTGTAACACATTATTGTGAATGAAATATAGTAAATCTGTTTAAATTTTTTTTTATTTCAAGCTCCAAAATAATAATAATAAGGAAATTTTTAAAAAGATTTGTATAAATGATGAAAGCAAAGGCAGGTAACAAAAGTTGCCTACAAAAGAATGGTAATATACAAAGTGTCTCCATTCCATATGAGAGTAGTTTGAAATAACTGGGGAGGTTTATCCTTGAAAAAAGACAACCTAGGGAAATATGACAGTTCTTCTCCAAATCTGTGGTGCTCCCTAATTGTTCTTGAACCACACTCATTTTTTAATCTTAATGTCACACTGCAGTTCTTACTTCAGTTCTGTTACCTCAATTCTTCTCATCGTTATTCTAAGACTATAACATGAGTCCATGTAGGCTACCCAAAGCTTGATAAGTATTCTTCACAATAGCCCCTGTTGCAAGATCCAGTGGAAATATTTGACCTCATGGAGTATCCTTTTGTCTTAGACATATGATGAGATAAATGTAGGAGATAAAGAATATGTGGAGTCCCTGGCCCACCATGGGACCCTACCAAAAGCTGAGTGTTTATGTGTGAACTCATGCAGTTTGGACCACCATTCAATACTTCATTTCTCTTTGTTACTTCTACATTACAAAACATTATTGTGAATAACATGTATTAAACCTCTTGAAAATTCTCTTGCTTTTAAGCTCCAAAATATTTTAAAGCTTAGCTGTGCCTTACACATTTGATAAAAGGGAAATAATTACTCATCTTTACTCTAAAGTAAAATATTTGAATTGTTAGGTTTGCATGGCAGCTTCTGAAATGGTTCCTTATTACATTACATGGCATTATTTCCATGTGAGGTTGTAAGATACTAAGCAGATGACCAAATGACTGTTTTATCTTAAGTGGCTTTTATGAGTATTAGACTTGAATTTAAGCACTTCAGTTAAGTGTGTCAGTATTGAAAATAAAAAGAAACTCCCATAAAATGTGCTGACATTGACACATTTGCTTGATTAGAATAAGGAACAGTCTTTTAAAAAAAATAAAAAGCCATAAAAATACATAGTAGAGCAATCTATTTTATCAAATAGCTAAGCAAAGAGAAAATATTTTGTACAATGTAAATTTCAATACAATTTATAGTATTTTAACTACACTACAACATGAAAGATAAAAGAAAAATAGCTTTCTATTACCATTTCAAACACATACTCCTGATATGCACATGGGTCATTCTTAATTTGCTGTCCAATTTATTGTTCAGGTGAAGTTCAGGAGCTTCCTTTTGCAAAATAAGCAGGCTTTACTTCTTTATTTAGCAAGGCATATTTTGTTAATGAGATAACAAACATATAAAATTATCTTAATATTTGCCTCAAGGTAGAACATACAGTTCATCTTGCTGATTGGGATTTCAAAGCCATTCCAAGCTAACGTTCTGATGTCGTTGATTATGCACGTACAGAAAATTAAAGCATGATTCTTCCTTGGAAGACAAATCATTGAGCTGTTATATCTCCATGATACTTTCCTTCTTGTTGCTCTTTGAAATCCATAGTGTGGATTGGTTTGGGCTAGCTTTTGTTCTTCCTTTACTGAAAAAAAGAGATAATTTTTTTTAGCATACTTACTTCCTAGCTAACTCAGGTATGAGCTGGTCTGAATAGTATCACCTCAGACTCCCACAGCCCATGGGTCATTACTTTTATGAAATCATTTCCTTTTCTATTTATAAAACAATGCAATATTCTAATTTAATTGTATGTTTGTATACTTTGATATATCAGAATGATTAATTGAAAATTTCGATGATGGAAAAGAGAATAATGTATTTCTCTCAGTTTGACCTATCAAGTCAAAATATCATAGGAATCATTCTGAAATAATACCAAATATCTGGATGCTGTTGTTACTTATCGTATCCCTCTTTTCTTCAGATTTTGAAACTCATGCTTTTCCAGTACTAAGCTGACAACACAATTAGGGAAAGAAAACTGGAGCTAATCTCAATCCAGAAAATTCAAATAATTTTATCCTATTGAGTGGGAAAATGTCCAGGGCAGCCAGTTTCTCTCTAAGTACCATTCTATTCATCTTGAATTTCATCTTCCTATCGAGTGTTTTTGTTTGATTATTTTGAGTCCAAAGGTCATTCTCCACTTTAAAGAAAACACGCAAAAATAAGAATTTGGGATTTCCCCCCCTTTTTATTTTTGCTTTTTTGGTGAGGCAATTGGGGTTAAGTGACTTGCCCAAGGTCACACAGCTAGTAAATGTCAAGTGTCTGAGGCCAAATTTGAACTCAGGTCCTCCTGACTCCAAGGCTGGAGCTCTATCCACTGTGCCACCTAGCTGCCCCTCCCTTTTTTCCTCTTAATAATTGTAACTTTAGTTTTAATTCCTTTCAAAAACTCGCCTGAAGGTTTTAATTTCATTAGATCAAATTTTTAATCTTATTTAATCTCATTGGCAAGGAAAAGGACATTGTTTATTTGTAGGAAAACAAATGTGGGATAACACTTTTTTAAAAAAAGTTAAAAAAATAAAGATTTTCCTAATGAAGACATTTATTTCTATGATCATTTTTTCTTTTGTAACGTTTCTTTTTGAATTGCAATTACAACTTCATTGGTACAGGGAAACTTCTTCAACTTCTTTCCATTGTATATTGACAACTATTCTGCAATTTAGAGCTTTAGACAGTTATCTCTGGAACACTGAGAGGTTACATGACTTACTAGATCACACAAGCATGTATCGGAGATGGTGCTGGAACCTGAGTTTTCTTACTAGAAAGCAGACTTTGCCCATTGCACCAAACTACTTCCCTTCTATAATAGATTTATCTAATATTAGTGAAATTTTCCAATTATGTTCCTGTATAGCTAAGCTAATTCTTCTTTACTTTTATTTTTCTCCTCTACTTGTAGTGGTCCTTTCAAAATTAATGGTAGTTCCTATTCTGTTTGTTTTGTTGGGTTTTTTTGTTTTTGCTAGGCAATGGGGTTAAGTGACTCGCCCAGGGTCACACAGCTAGTAAATGTTATGTGTCTGAGGCCAGATTTGAACTCAGGTCCTCCTGAATCCAGGGCTGGTGCTCTATCCACTGTACCACCTAGCTGCCTCCCAGTCGTTCCTATTCTGAAGACATAATAAAAAATAGCATTACTGAATATAATTCCCAATTTTAATCTATCTGTTATAGTCTCTCTCAGATCAAATATTTTGAACATATTCAATTAATATTTTCAAAATTAATACCCAACTGTTATCACATCAAATTATTTCAAACACAAAATTTCTCCCAAATATATAACAGTAATAATACATGGTAAATAACAAACAATAAACTTAGAAACTCTGTGTGTGTGTGTGTACATGTAAAGTCATTATCTGTCTATGATATAAAAACAATAAATGCAACATGTTCAATCATCCTTTTAAAAAAAAGCTATTAATCTCTTGGTTTAAAAAGATCAAAATAATTATACCCTGCTAAAAAAAAGTAAAGAACAAATTTATCATCTTTTATTTATATTCATTCTGAGGACTATCTCATACCAGCACATGTTCAATGTATGTATTTGCATTCCACCTAATCACATCATGCACCATTAGTTTTCTCATGAGATTGCCATATCTGTAGATGATTTTTACATTAGATAACAGAGTCATTACCTGGATTTCAGTATTTCACAGTCCCAATAACCATTGCATTATTATATAATCTACAGCTTTCCAGATCCAAATACTAGCATATTTTGAAATTTTACTAGTTCTTACTAATTCATATTCATAACATAAGTTAAAAAAAGTGAATATGCAGGTATGGAAATCTGTCAACATATGTTTCATGCCCCATATAGCTAAGAAAATAAGTTCATTTTCTACTAAAAATTAGATAACTTCATTCATGAAAATGTAATTATAAAAATTCTAATATCTCATGTATTTAGTATTTACCTTTTATGTAGCATCTGAAAACAGCAAGTCCCAAAAGCCACCAGTATCAACAACAGCAGAGGTATTGTTGGTATAACAACATAAATTAGGTTGGGAATTATACCTATAAAAAAAACTTACAGTATGTTATATGACATTTTCCCCATTCACCTTAAAACTTCTCATGCATTTGAGAAGACAGAATATAACCCTTCCCTCTAGTTATTAGAACAAGTATAACTAGAAATTATCTATATCTATTTATCCACATATATACACACACACATATATATAATATGCATATAAGCATGTTTTAGTCAGACAACAAACTGAAATTAAGCCACAGCAGTTAATATAAATGTTCTTTGTAAATTTGTAAGTCTGATATTCAGAATGAGACTAGTTTTTTATAGAATATTAGTGTTTTCTTTCCTTTTTCACTTCCATTAATTAAAGAGGAAAAACACTAATTATTTTTATACTGTGATAAAAATATAAATGCTGATAGAGTCTGGGGAGCAAAGAATCAACCATAATTAAATTCTAAGGTTAATTAGTTTATTCTTTAATTCTTTCTCATCACTCATGGGGACTCTATATCTGCCTAAGAAGATAAGCTACTACAGTCACTTCATTACTGTGATGCCTATAATTACACCATAACTCTTCTTCAGGACCATAAGACAAAAAAGAAATTCTTCAGATCACAATGTTTTAGACTGTAAAATCAGTCTTTTGCAAAATCAAAATGGTAGTCTTCACGTCTCTCTATAAAGTAACTGACTGGTAAATTCAGTATCATCAGTATAATCATACTAGATAATTCAAGTCAAAATGGATTCTCCTACCACTAAATATCCATATAACTGCCCAAAATTCTATTTGACTACATAAAACAATGGTTTTATCTCCTAGGATGCTAAATTTAGTTAGAATAAATCAACAAGAGAATCCTTTCAAACTAAGATATAAAGATGGAATAGTTTGGTTAAAGCTTCTATTATTTCATTCCATGATATAAAGAGTTCCATAAGTCTCTAACTTCACTAAATCTTCCAACTAATTAATTAAAATGGTTTCCTTCTGCATTCAACTTCTCAATCCAAGGGAAAGGGAATACTCTTCTTACTCTATGGCAACAGTTCAGATGTCTTTAAAGTGACTTTCCCATTCAGGGCAAGTCTAACAAGAAGTTCTTAGTTTATCTAGTCAAACCAACTCATTCCTCTGGGATCACAATGATATAAGTAGCAACCCATATAAAACAATTCCTTGTTAACATACAGTTTTAATTGAGAGTCCATATCACACTCTTCACAGGTCATTGAAAACTCTAATTTGCATCATACAGACAAAAGAGTCCCATATAGACATGGCTTTTTTCTTAGCTTTTTAGCTAAATGAAGATATAGGCATATAGGTGCATATGTATATATTATTATGTATGTATGTATCTGTGTGTGTGTGTGTATATATACATATATATAAACAAACACATATATACACACACACATATGTATACATACACACACACACATATACACACACATATATTTGTAAGTATACATATAAACTCAGTATGAGATATGTCTACATTCAGTGGCTATATATTTTCAATTCATTCCTCAGTCCTGGAAACTATTAGGACCATTTTTTCTGATCAAGTAAAGTATCACAAAGCCGCTAACGAAATTAGCTAATTTAGTATTTAGAAGGCCTATGGTAGATTTGCATTTTGGGGCAAAATGCATTGGAAAGTATAATTTCTATTCTTGTTAGAACAATTAAATCAATGTAAACTAATTACCTGTTTCAGTAACAACTATGTGATAGGGATCTTCTGGCTTGCTTGCATCAAAGGGCTTTCCCGCTGGGATGGTTGGAAAACTCTCTGTAAATGACCACAAATGCTTTATACATACATATATGTGTATCCAATGCTAAATATGAAAGACATAAGGCTAGATAATGAAAAGCACTTTAAATGTGTTTTTATGAATATTAATTTATCTATAACCAAATTAAATTTAGATATATTTCTATTGTAATTTTTCATAACATTTTATAACTAAACAACCATTTTTTTACCATCTATTTATTAATTACCCATTTTGTAGACCTACACGTCTAGAATTACATCCTGTTTCCTGATAATTACTGATAATTATCAGCTAGCTGGAAGGATATTATCAGCCCTTGGTCAGAGCCAATAAGGTAGAGGTATGAGTTTTCCAGGTAGTTTTAAAAATCATTTTGTATTATTTGTAATTCTATAAGGCAAGATAATCAGCAATTTATTTTATTTCTATTGCATCAGGAATTGGTATTTCGAGCAACAATGGTCTGGAGCACATTTCTGTACTGTATCCTTGAAACAGATTTTTCTGGTGATTCCTGAATTTTTTTTAATCTTTTTTTAAAAAGCACCATTTTTTCTAATATCTATTTCACAATTATTAGGCCTCAGAGTTTTTTTTTTATTTCTCTAGAAAAATTTTTCAAATTTCTCACAACAATCTTGCACTGCTCTGCCTCCTAATTCTTTTTCTAAGACACTGTCTGTTAAATCAATAGTTCAGTGAAAGAATAAATTAGATTAGTAAAACAGTATTTCTTTGCATTCCTTCTTAATTATGACCCTTAGTTTACTTATGTGAGCTTTTTAAAGTTATAAATTAAAAACACTGTATTTGTACATTCCTTCTTGTATCTACCTCAAAGCATTTTAAAATTTAATTTATAATGATATAAATCATCACTCCTGTTCATAGTAATCAATCTTTCCTTTGCAGTCTTGAAGCACTTATAGTTAAAAACACTTTTCTGACATTTAATCATCTATTGCCTTGCATTAGTATTTACATTTTTACATGGAAATGTCTTGTTTCCCCAATTAAATCATGTCTATAGGACACAGACTATTTTTAACATCCTTTTATCCTTTACTGTACCCAGCAAAGTTCTATTTATGTATTAATCATTTAATAAATATTTATTAAAGGAAAAAATAAAACATTTATTAAACTCATCACTCAATCCCCAAGTACCTAATACTATTTAAAATAATTATTGCTAGGTAGCAATAACTATTGCTTAAGTAAATAATTGACAAAACCTTACTCCAATGCATTATTGTGACATGGAGGTGACCTTTGTTTCTCAAAGGCTAAGCCAGTGGTGTGCAAGCTCTGACAAGTTCTACCATGCTGAAAAGACTTCAAATATGATTCTGGCAACAAAACATTTGTCATCTTTCCAAAGTGCAGAGAAACTTATCAATAGGTGTTTACATATGAATTCTTTGGACATAGCAACCCAGAAAGCAAATAAACAAAAGACATAAAATGTCCTTCAAACATGCAGAAGCTCTCCAGTTTCTGCAACAATATTTATATCATGGCAGAAAAGCAGTCAGAGGGTAATGAGACTCTGGACGTTTTTAGACCACCTCAAATATTACTTTGGTAGTTGATATTCTAAATAGGAGATACTTGTCTAGTCAGCAATTAATGGACATACTACTCTAGGAAATGAATCACATAATTGTTAGCATTCTTAATGCAACTAAAAAAAAACAACCTGAAATTGTATTTAAGTGGAAAAATGGCTCACTGGTTCTCCTTAGAAAAATAAAAGAGGTGGCAGAATTGGTTTATAAAGACCATTTCATTTCATGTAACATTTGATCATTTCATACTGCAATGCTCATGGCAAAGACCACCATGAAAATAATTGCAGCTTACGTAAAAACTTCAGTTGCAGACAATAAAGAGGGAGGTGAATTCTTCATAGATTGTGATATATGGTAAACATAGGCATAGAGGAGTATGGGGAGGGTGAGTTTTGGAAAACATGATTCTAAAAGAAGGAGTGAAAACCAGTGAAATGTAAAACAGTCAATTTCTCTAAATTTCATCAATCTTTACAAAAAGGTTTTATATGGGAGGCTGCCTGTAACTGCCATATAATACCTGTTGTTGTTTTTTGGAGGCAATTGGGATTAAGTGACTTTCCCAGGGTCACACAGCTAGTAAGTATCTGAGACCAGATTTGTACTCAAGTGTTCTTGACTCCAAGGCCAGTGCTCTATCCAATATGTCACCTAGCTGCACTCCCCCATCACCCCCCCCCAAAGCCCAAAGAAGTACAGTGGCGAGAAGAATCAGTCAAGGTACCAATGTGGGTGGTTACCCTGAAGGAAAGGGATTGAAATTCAGTTTGGGCCAATACTAACCCTCATAATTTATTCAGAGTAGGGACTCAGGCCAACAAAACATATACCTTCAATGGTTAAGTGGTTGAAGAATAAGAACAAACAAAATAATAACAAAAATTCTTCAAAAAAATTACAAATCATTAACTCCATATGAATGATTATTCCATATCCCTAATCATAAGAGTCATGCAAATCAAAGCAACCTTGAGGATTCACCTCATACTCAGTAAATTGCCAGAGATAAGATAAGATGGGAATAGCCTATATTGAGGAGATTGTGGAAAGACAAACATACTGATACCGTACTGGTAGAGCTATGAATTAATTGGTCCAGAAATTCTAAAAATAAATTTGAAATTGTGGCAACTACTTAACAAATATCTATTAAGCACATATATGTGACACTCTGTTAAGTGATGAGGATATAAAGGACAGTCCTTGACCTCAAGAAGTTCACATTCTAATGGAGGAGAGTGAGGAGATGAGGGTAGTAGCTAGATTGCCAAAGATGGTGGTAAACTTGACAGTAATAGGCAAGTTCAGAAGAGGAGAGGACTTGGGAGAGAGTTAATGAGTTCAGTTTTGGACGTGTTGAGCTTCATGTGTTTATGAGACATTCATTTGGAGGTGCTTAATCTGTAGTAGGAGATACAAGACTGCAAGTCAGAAGAGGAGTTAGAGATGAATAAGTATATCTGAGATTCATCTACATAGGGATGATAATTGAATTCATAGGAGGAGATGAGATCACCAAGTGAAACAGTATAGAAGGAGAAGAAAACAGGGCCCAGAACATAGCCTTGGGAGACACCCATGGTTAGCAGACATGATCTACCTAAGGAGATTGAAAAGAAGTAATCAAACATGCAAAGGAGAACCAAGAGAAAGCCATATCATGAAAACCTATAGGGAAAAGAGTATCAGGGATAAAAGGGTGATCCTTGGTGTCAAAATCCACAGAAAGATCAAGAAGGATGAGGGCTGAGAAAAGGTCACTAGATTTGACATTTAAGAGATCACTGGTAAATTTAGAGAGAGTATTTTCAGTTGAAGTCTGGTTAGAAGCCAGATTACAAAGGTTTAGAAGTAAGAGGAAATCTTGGTGAGAAAGAGGGTAGTAACAAGAAGAGAAGGAAGATGTCCAAAGGGAACAGGGAAATATAAAACCAACACCCCCAAAAAACAGCTAGAATACCAAATATTTCAAGAGAAAAATATAATTCTAAAGACTGTGGCCAAGGATATAAATCAGCAGAGAGGATCCTAAAACTATAAAGAAGCAGGAGAACTAAATCCACAAAGAAATTACAAATTTCATTTCCGTTATAAGAGCCAAAAAAAAGTGAACTAGTGACTGACGAAGTATAGAATCCTGTGGAATACCAAGAAAGCATGGAGCAACAAGAAATTCCAGCATCATCGAAACAGAAATTAAATCCATAATAGAAGAAATTAGGAGGGAATATAGGTCAGAACTTAGAGTTCAATTCAAAATTTCCCAAAAAAAATTTTCAATTACCTGATTAGAAAAATTGACTATATGGCAGAGAGTTTTTCTAAAAAAGTAAAAGAATGTAAGACTATACAAAGAGATAGAGAGCATTAAGGGATGTAAAATGGATACATCAAATTAAAAAGGGTTTGCACAAACAAAACCAATGCAACCAAGATAAAAAGGAAGCAGAATATCGGTGGAAAAAAATTTTATAGCAAGTTTCTCTGACAAAGGCCTCATTTCTCAAAAATATAGAGAACTGAGTCAAATTTATAATGATATGAGCCACTCTCTAATTTAAAAATGGTCAAAGGAGACAAAAAGGTAGTTCTCAGAAGAGGAAATCAAAGCTATCTATTTGTTGTTTAGTTGTTTTTCAGTCCAACTCTTTGTGATCTCTTTTTGGGGTTTTCTTGTCAAAGATACTGGAGTGGTTCACCAGTTCCTACTCCATCTCATTTTACAGATGAGGAAACTGAGACACACAGGGTTAAGTGACTTGCCCAGGGTCACAGACCTAGTAAGCATCTGAAGCTGGATCTGAACTCAGGTCTTCTTGACCAAAACTATTCTGAAGGACTTACGATGAAAAATGCTATCTTCAGAGAGAGAACTGATAGAGTCTGAATACAGATTGAAGCATACTTTAAAAAAAAAAACTTTATTATTCTTAGGTTTTTTGTCTGTGACTTCTTCTGCAACACGGACAGATTTGCATGACTGCACAGTGTGTAATCTATATCAAATTGCTTAATTTCTCAAGGAGGGGGAAAGGATGGGAAGGAGAAAATTTGACACTCAAAATTTTTTAAAACTAATGTTAAAATTTTTTATTTACATGTAATTGATTAAAAATAAAATAATTTATGGGGCAGCTAGGTGGCACAGTGGATAGAGCACTGAGCCTGGAGTCTGGAGGACTTGGGTTCAAATCTGGCCTCAGACATATAATACTCAGCTGTGTGACCCTGGGCAAGTCGCTTAACCCCAATTGCCTCACCAAAAAATAAAATAAAATAATCAAATGCAAAAAAAAAGAAAAGAAAATGCAAAAAAAAAGAAAAGAAAATTAAAGGGGGGAAATAAAATGAAGGAAAAGAGATTTACATATTTAGAATAAATAATTACTACATAGAAGAAAGTGAATACCAGAATGGTAGAATAAAAACAAAAGGAAATGACATTAAAAGAACATATAGCCATTTTCTCCTTCCCCTCAAATCACGAGTACATGCTTTTCTTGGGTTTACTGCGCACTTAGAAAAAATGTTGGACTTTTTCTGGATCTTGATTACCTTGTCTGATCAACTTTTCCATATTTTAATCAAGATTTTTAAAAATCATGATTATTGCTTTATATTATGAGATAATATAATGCTATTCCCCCTTTTATCCTGCATTTAAATTTTTTCTCTTGAAACCATTGACCTTTTGCTTCATACTATTTGCAAATACAGATAATTTTTACTTCATTTTTATCTATTTCTATTCTCTCAATATTCTTCTCATTTCTATAGGTAGCATTTCTAGAATAACAGCAGCAACAATGGACATCTATGTTTCACTCTTGCTGTTTCTGGAAACAATTCTAGTATATCTCCATTACAAATAACATCAGCTCACTCTCCTCCCAGTCTTGTTCCTAATTTCTCTGGACTTCAAAACCATTCCTCCTGCTGCCTCATCTTGGAACTTCTATCAGTGCCTGGGGTCTCTTCTTCTTGGAACAGCTTCCCGTCCCTGCCGCCCATTCACCATGGAATATCCTTCTGCAGGACCCACCCCATTTTTCTCATTGATGATTTACTTCTTGAGTCTCCATTTTGTAGAGGGGCCAAGGTTGACCTACCCTTATTACCCTACCCCATCCCACTCTTTTTTACTTGATGCCTTTTTGTTGTGCTGTCTTCCTCAATTATAATGTAAATTTTTCTTTTTGTGAGGCAAAGTGACTTGCCCAGGGTCACACAGCTAGTAAGTGTCTGAATTTGAATTCAGGTCTTCCTGAATCCATGGCCGGTGCTCTATCCACTACACCATCTAGCTACTCTGTTAGCATTCTTTCTGCTTTTTTATTTGTATCTCCAGAACTTAGAATAATGCCTGACATACACCAAACACTTAATAAATGCTCATTTCCTTCCTTCAGTCCTCTTGGTTTAGATAATGTTTATCACATCAAGGAAAAGTTCATTTATTCCCATGGTTTTAGTGGGATTTTTTTACATGAATGAGAATTGTATTTTGTAAGAATTTGTAGTCTTCCTGATGTTGAACAATTACTACATGTTTAGTCATTAATCCAACATTGTCATAGTGAATAATGCAGTACACACATTGGAATGTAGAAAACACAGTTTGTTTTAGTGATATGACAAGCTATAATGAATTGCAAAGTTTTCCACAAAACAATCAAGAGTGTGATATTTATGAAAACCTTGATAAAATGTTTCCCACCTGGTTCGTACTTGCAGATAAAATTGTGCTTCATATTGCATCTGTCATCATTCCACTGGTAAAGGTAAGGACCCCCAAGCCCAGGATTGGCAGTTGGTTGATGATACATCACAACGCAAGCTTCACTTCCACAGGAAGGCTCATCAGTATACCAGTTTCTAAAAGTATACACCAATAAAATATTTTAAATCAATATTACCCACAAAAATATGATGACTTCTTCCACCTTTACAGATAATCTGCTTACCCCTTAAAGATTAAGCACTAAAATGATAACCCATGCCTTCAGCATCCACACCTACCGATACTGGGAACTGCTTCCATCAGACCATTTGTAGAGGTTTGGACAAGCACCCGATGTCTGTCCCTCTCCATTTCTCCAAAGCCCAATCCAGAAGTCACCATCAGAAATGCCTGTGTCTGGCTTTGTGAGGTTTTGTAACATGCTTTCTATTAACTTCTGCTCCGTTTCACTTTCAAGACTGAGAAGAGCTCCACCATCACTTTCACAAGCTTGGCGTGCCTCCTGGAATCCCACTCGACTTGACAAGTCCTGAAAATAGGCTATTTTGTAACAGGGATGTTTGAAGTCTGCAAAACACACCTTCTGACCTGAAAGACATGCAGGCAGGGTGATTAATGATATAATATCAATTGCATAGACAAAACATGTTAAAAACTATAAAATATCACTGAATCACTCTCCATATAAACACTCTCCAAAGCTTAATCATTTTTTAAAAAATATTATTTGCTGGTTACATTTAATTTTTTTTTCTCCTGCAAGGTCTATTTGAATACTCATGTTGGTATAATGCAATATGTGCATTTAAAAACTGCATCATTTTTAAAAGATATCATGATGAAGCTCATTCAGTTACTATTATCATCAGATAGTGAAAGTAGCTAAACATCTACCTAATGGAAAGAGACATGAATTAAAATCTTGGAGCTATTAGACAATAAAGCATTGGAATAGAAGACGGAAGAGAGAATTCTGGAGCAGCCAAGTCAGTATGGAAAACATGTCATCAGCATTTACAGAAAATCTATAGAGTCTGTGATACAGGTTTTCTGTCTATACAAAACATATCGAATAAACTTCATTTTCTCACAAATGACTACTTCATTTTCACTTGGACAACAATTGTGATCAATCATACACTCCAAAATAGAAACTCTGAAGTTGAACTTGGAGAACTTAGGGTCAAGTGTTTTTCATGGAAAATCTATAATTTTGTGGGGGAGGAAGGAAGTAGAGCTACCTGTCTTAGATGATTGCTAAGTGACAAAGCATGAAAGAATAGTGCCTATAAAAACTTATTTAGCTAAACTCTACTAATGAGAGATTTCTGATTCTTCAGAAAGGAAGTAGGATCAACTATGCATTGACTTAGTAAACTATTTTAATAGTGTTGAATGAAGAGAATAAAAATCAAATTTAGCATAAATTAGAATAAACTACTTGAGCACCCACAAAAGCTTTGAAAATATACATTAATGTGCTGATTCCAAATTATTTCTTCTTTGAGAAATTATTGTCAGCCTGATTTGTTACTAAATATGTTGAAAAAAGTAGAAATGGTTTTTTTTAAATCTTCATTATTTTCATTGTTTCAAACAGTACTTTCATGGAACTAATGTGAATTAGAGTTTGCTATATATTTGAATAGGAATGGGGAATGTTACCAAACATATAGTAAGTTATCCACAAATGCTATACATGGAACTATGGTAGGCTGGAAATTAATAGTTTAAATAATATATTCATAAAGGAATATTGAGAAGTGTTAATGGTAAATTTTCTTGGATCATTTTTAATTAATTATCACTTGAATCAGAGACTTTATTAAATGCAATTGTATATTTCCAAAACTTCTAACCAGTATTAAATCTGAAGAAAAAAAACTTTAAGTGTACTCATTTGATTTCAACCATCATTTCATTCAAAGATAGCACCTAAATCACAAATCAAACTCAAAGCGTATCTAAAAATCTTTTAATGAAACACAAAATTTGGTAAAAAGATAGGCAAATACTTCAAAAGTTATTGCTAATAGGAAACATACCAAATGTAGAATAGTTAAACTGAACCAGGAAACTTCATTTATTTCAGTCTCTAATATTTGAAATCTCAAAATAATTAGTATTTTAGTCCCTGTGACAATTTTAATATGTTACTATTAATATCTTATTCATCTTCTAACATTTACTTGAAAGAAAAAGTAATTGTATTTTTCAAATTGGAAAATGGTGCTTCAAGAAGTGAATTGCCTTATGAAAGCTACCACCAGTAATAAAGTCTAGAAATCAAGACTTCTAAAAGCAGAATGTATTACATCAAGGCAGTAAATCAATAGTTATTAACAAAAGTAATTTTAATAACAACAAATAATGTACATAATGAACATGAAAATAAAATTAAAACAACACTATAGATTTTGGGGGAAAGAGTCGTGAAATCCAGCTAAAGCCAAGTAGAGAATTCGGTGTTGCATTCATTCAAAAACCATCCACCTAATAAGTGCCCACTCTGTATAAAATGTTCAAATTTAATTAAGAGTTCTATAAGGAGAGGAAGAATTACCTCTGCTGAATTATCTGAATTGGTGAGCTAATTACAGTTTTTCATACACTCTATTAATATGTTAACTTATCATACTAATTTAGTGTTACCTTATAAAACAAGCACTACCCAATGAACCCATAAAAGCTAAAATGTGTTTCTAAAGTATCTAAATATACTCATTGGTACAAGCTGGAAGTATGCTGTCTATCTTTAATTGAGGGTAATTGTGAAAATTAAGTAATTTTCAACAGTAAGAACACAATTTTGGTTTCCTAATATCAGTACTCAATGTTATTTCTCTTTGAATATATCATAGGCTGCAGTATTTTGTTCCAACTTCATAAATTACTATTATGAAATGGCACATGGTGATAACATGAGAATTTCTTAGAACATAAACGTCTACCAAATAAGAGAATGAGTAATATATTATTAAAACATAATTGTAACACCTTCTTGAGCAATGCCCTGAAAGACAGCCCTGTGCTGGGTGTTATATGCATAAATAGGAACATGACCCCTGATTGTCTGAAAGAATGCTAAGTGTAATGCTGGGTATCTATTTAAGGGACTTACTTTAGTTGGTTAGGGACATACATGGATGAAGGACCTCCAACAAGGTGGTTGAGAGAGAGAGAGAGAGAGACTTTGACTACACAGTGAAGTCCTATATGATGTGGACATTAATGGGAGCTGGTACCATCACATTTCCTGACCTCCATCTAACTCAAGAGACTGATAAGAGAGGACCTTCCCTGAATGAGATTGTTCTCTCTTTTTGTTTAAGGTAATACCCTACCACACCCTGAGATGAAGAGCCCATTTACTCTTAAATAACCTTAGATAGATAGATAGACAATATGTGTGTATTTATATGTGTGTGCATATACATACCTATATATATACATACACATATGTATATGTATGTATATACATACATATATGTATTGTATGTGTGTGTATTGTTACCCTGAATGCCACTTAACCTGTCTTTTTTTTTTGGTCTAGGCAATGGGGTTAGGTGACTTGCCCAGGGTTACACAGCTACTAAGTGCTATGTGTCTGAGGCCAGATTTGAAGTCGAGTCCTCCTGAATCCGGGAGGGTAATCTATCCATTCTATCCATTGTGCCACCTAGCTGCCCCTTACCTGTCTTCTTGAGTTGCAATATTTTCCAGAAACACTGGACCTAGAGTATGCAATGCAGGAGGGCCTGAACATGCCAAGGATGAAGTCCCTCCCTGAGCTGACTTAATTTGTTGTTTACACCCCAAGCAGTTTACATCCCTATGTGTCCTCTGGAGTCAAGACAGGGGCCAGTCAATTTGCACCAGACTGAGAAACTGTTTGTGTAGCTGGAACTCTTGCAAATAAGTGATCATCATAATTTCATAGTCTAACACAGTCTTTTTTTGTCCTTTTTTAATTATTATTATTTTATCCCTTTATCCTTTTACCATTTTATCAAGGGGATTTGTTCTGTGTAGTTTGGATTCAGTCAAAGGGCTGCACCTGAGGTGCTAGAGGGCCACATGTGGCCTCAAGGCCACAGGCTCCCCACCCCTCGTCTAGCAATTCCCAAGGCAAAAGAATGCTGCTTTTGCCATCCTACTTACTCATGTTCCCTCTCTCTTTCTTTCATTTTTCTAGTCCCCTTCAGAAGGGAATTAATCCTTTCCCCACCCCTACTGTTCCCTTCCTCCTCTCAGGCCACTCCCATTTGGGAGGGGACAGCTTTTCGCTCCCACACCCCCCTTGTTGCAATTCATAAAGATGCAAGCTTCTGCTTGGATTGTGAACTCCTTATTTAAACTATTAATTTCCAGCCTACCACAGTTCCATGTTCCATAGTTCCACATGCATGTTCATTTCTCTTGTAATAAATCCATTTTTAACACATGTCTCTTAAGTCATGATTTCTGGTTAGCAATATATATTCTAATTTGTGGAATTTATCCAATTTCGGTTTATTATTTTGCATAAACAGTCATACTCAATGTTTATAGTCTTTTATGTAAATATTACATGGGACATAATATGTTTTCAACCATCTCTGACTCTTTGTGATCCCATTTGGAGCTCTCTTGGCAGAGACTGGAGTAGTTTGCCATTTCCTTCTCCAACTCATTTTACAGATGATGAAACTGAGAGAACAGGGTTAAGCGATTTGCCCAGGGTCACAGTAAGTGTCTGAGGCCAGATTTGAACTCAAGAAGATAATTCTTTCTGGTTCTAAGCCGAGGTTTTATTCTCTGCGCCACCCAGCTTATTCCCTTCCTTCCTCTTCCTCCCTTCACCCCCTCCCTGCCTTTTTTTTCTCTTAACATGGAGCTTTGGTCTTCATCTATACAGTATTTGGAAAGAAGTTATGTTTCTTCATATAGGCTGAGATTCATATTAGTTTTTCCTTCTTCCAAGATCTAAAACAATCATAGCATCAGAAGACAAACACAGCAGTCTGGACATCAATCTGTGAAAGGATATTACTTGCCTGGGTCAAGGATGAGAACATGGACCTTTTATGTGGGTGCTTTATTTATAAACTCAAAGTTTTTATTTAAAAAAAATGAGGGAGGCAGTTAGGTGGTGCAGTGGATAGAGGACTGGCCCTGCAGTCAGGAGGACCTGAGTTCAAATCCAGCCTCAGTCCTATAACATTCACTAGCTGTGTGACTCTGGACAAGTCACTTAACCCCAATTGCCTCACCAAAATAAATAAAATGAGGGCAGGCAAAGATTAGGCACCAAGGCATTTTTGCCAAAAATCAGAGTACAATCAATACAAAAAGTATGTATTGAGTGTTACTAAATGCCAGGCTCTATGCTAACTGCTAGGAATGCAAAGAAAATTTTTTAAAAGCCTAGTCCCTGTTCTCAAAGAGCTTATAGTGGGGAAGACAATTTGCAAATATATCCATATGAAAAAGCTAGACAGGATAGATTGTAGTTCTCAAGGAGATAGCACAAAGACCAAGGATGACTAGAAAAGGCTTTTCACAGATGAAACTTTGGCTGAGACTTGAAGGAAGCCAGGTAATCCAGG